CACAGGGGGGAGAGGACAGGGCCAACCTCTGCTCTGCCAGCTCAGATCTCTTGCAGGAAATTGCATCAATCAAACAGAGAAACACAGAATCCCAGCATGGTTTGAGTTGGTAAAGACTTTAAAAATAATTTCATTCCACCCCCTGCCACAGCAGGGACACCTCCCACTACCCCAGGGTGCTCCAAGCCCTGTCCAGCCTGGCCTTGGACACTGCCAGAGATGGGGCATATGAAATTCTGATTAAAACCAAACTAAAAATAAAGAAAACATTTCAGTTTGAAAACATGTTCCATTTCAAATCCCACTGTGGTTTCATGAAAATGCTCAAGTGATTTTTATATCTATTTTTTTTTTCTAGTTCAGTTCTTTACTGAGAATTTTCCAAACAAATCCAATCTGGGTTTATTCAAGGTGACTCTTCCCTCTGCTCCTGGCCTCGACTTCCAGCCATTGCATGAAAGAATTCTCTGTTTGTACCACGAAAGGTAAAACAAGAAGAGGAAAAACCTCCTCCAGATGGAAACACACCATCCTCAAAGTGGACAGAGGTGGCAGCTCCAAATGAGACCAGTTTGGGTTAGAGAGGGAATATTCTCATTTCCTTGCGAAGGTCAACATTTGGGGGGTGCAAATCTGGACTGAAAGGGGCCAGGCTGAGAGATGGGGAGGGTGGGGTCAGCTGGGGGACCAGGGGGCAGCTGGGCTGGGACACCCCAGAGCCAGGTTGGGGTGGCACCAAGGGTTGTGACCCCAGTAAGGGTTTGGAGACACCCACAGGGTGGGCAGGACAGAGGATTGTGGCCCCAGAGAAGATTGGGGACACCCATGGGTTAAGGGCTGAGGATTGTGACCCCAGAGAGGGTTTGGGGACATCCACAGGGTGAGGGTTGAGGATTGTGAACCCAGTGTGGGTTTGGGGACATCCACAGGGTGAGGGTTGAGGATTGTGATGCCAGTGTGCATTTGGGGACACCCACAGTGGGCAGGACCAAGGATTGTGACCCCAGAGAAGGCCGGAGACAGCCATAGGGTGAGGTTTGAGGATTGTGACCCCAGAGCAGGTTTGGGGACACCCACAGGGTGAGGGTTGAGGATTGTGACCCCAGAGAAGGTTTAGGGACACCCATAGGGTGGGCACGACAGAGGACTGTGACCCCAGAGAAGGTCTGAGACAGCCACGGGGTGAAGGCTGAGGATTGTGACCCCAGAGCGGGTTTGGGGACACCATCAGGATTCCCCAGCACTGCTCCCCCCACTGACCCCTCAGTGATGGAGGTGGGCGGTGAGAAGCTGCAGCACACGAAGGGTTAAGTGCGACTCATTGCCAGGGATGGCTCCTGTCCCTTTGGCCCCTGGAAGTGCCCAAACCTCTCCCCTCCTCTCGGCAGGAAACCGAGCAGAGCGCAAAACATTTGTTGCTTTGTTTGGGGCCAATGTCTTTAAAGCCTTCGGACGCTCTGCTTTGACACGTCCCTGCAGGAGGAAAAAAAGCCCCGAGCTCAGCAAGATCTTATCGTGACACCGGGAATTTACTGGGGCCGGGGCCGGATGCGCCGGGCGCTGTCCGGGCTCAGCAGCGGCTCCGGGCTGGCTCCAACATCTGGAGGGAGGATGGAGAGTTCGGAGCCGGCGTTTGCCTCACAGATGTGGGGAGGGAGGGCAGGAAAAAGCTGCAGCCCCCTCGGGAAGGGGAAAATCTGGGGATGAGGGGCCCTTCTGTCGCTCCTCTGTGGGGTCTCATCAGGACAGTGCTGGAGCTGGGGCAGGAGAGCAGCACATGGATAAAGGAAGCAGCTCCCGCCTGGAAGCTCCCCTCACCAGCACTTTCATTTCCTGACTTTCTTTCTCTGAAGGAGAGGGGGAAAGGCACAAAATAATGTTGGATTTGCCTTTGGCCTCTCCTGGAGTGTTTTGCATCTGTCCAAGGAGGGATTTGTGGGGACTGGAGGGACAATCCCGGGTACAGGCAGCAGCACCTGGGGAGCTCAGCACTCCCTGTGCCCTCCATCCCTTCAGCATCCTGTGGCCTTTCAGCTGCTCTGCCATTCCTTCCACTGTCCCTGTCATCCTCTGTGTCTTCCTTTTGACCATCCATCCATCCATCCATCCATCCATNTTGCACTGAGCTTTGGGTTGGACTTGTGGCTCTTACAGGACATGGTCACTCAGCACTGATGAATTAACTGGTGAATTAACAGTGACAGGCTCAGAAATGCCAAAAATCCTCTGAATTTCATGTCCAAATGGCGCAAAGGGGAGCAGTCCTTGGCACAGCCCTGGTGAGGGAATCTCAGATGGGCTTCACCAGCTCTGGGGCATCCAAACCTGGCCAGGGAGAGCTGAGCCAGCCAGGATCCAACCTTGGTTCTGCGTGGCACCCACCAGCAATCCAGCATGGCTCATTTGGAGGACTGGGTGATGCTGAAATTCCCCCCGAATTGTGACAGCAAATTCCCTCTGCACAATCTGTGCCCCTGCCCCAGGCCAGGGGAGGGCCTGGCTGTGCCAGGGGAATGATTTGAGCCATCCCAGCACTCAGAGATCCACCAGCTCTCCCCACAGTGATGCAGAGCAGAAATCCCTCCCTGCCTGCCCCGTCTAGACCAGGACAAGACAAAGGAGGAGCTGCAGCCAGACAGGGCTGTGACAATAAAAACTCCCTTTGCAGTCATCACAAAACTGTCAGATTTCTCTCTGCTCAGGCAGGACCTCCAGCAGGCCAAGGACAAACCCTAAAAATGTGAGTGGTTCTTAATCAGCAGCCTAGAGCTGGAGCTGGAGCTGTTCCAGGGGTGGAACAGAGGAGTTCCAGGACCCTACAGAGCTCAGGGGTGCTGGTTTAGTGCTCACTGAAGGGACAGGAGGCTGGAAAGAACTGGTGTGGTGCTGGGGCAGGAGCTGCACCTTCACTGGGAAGGGATGGCACAGGTGGGATAGGGATGGCACAGGTGGGATGGGGATGGCACAGTTGGGAATGGATGGAAAAGCTGGAAAGGGAATGGCACAGGTGGGAATGGATGGAAAACGTGGGAAAGGGAGTCACAACTGGGAAAAGGAATGGAACGGTTGGGAAAGGGGCTGGCACAGCTGGGATGGGGATGGAAGAGCTGGAAAGGGAATGGAACAGCTGGGATGGGGATGGCACAGGTGGGAATGGATGGAACAGGTGGGAAGGGGGTGGAACAGCTGGAAAGGGAATGGAACAGCTGAAAGGGGAATGGAACAGTTGGGAAAGGGGAATGGAACACCTGGAAAGGGATGGCACAGCTGGAAAGGGGAATGGAACAGGTGGAAAGGGAATGACACAGGTGGGATGGGGATAGCACAGGTGGAAAGGGGAATGGCACAGCTGGAAAGGGAATGGAACAGCTGGAAAAGGAGTGGCACAGCTGGAGGAGGGGTGGCACAGCCCATCCTCATCACATTCCCAAAGTTCTGTGTACTGAGAGGGTGTCAGATTTCCACTCACCCAGGGTGCCACAGGGCTTGTTCTTGTAGATGCAAATGTCGTACCTGTGAAGGAGAGAAGGCGGCATTAAGGACATTTCTGATTTTGGGGGCTGTCCTTTTGCGTTCACATCCAAACCAGCCCATGAAATATTCTGGGATGGAAATACCAATGGTGACACGTAAGACAGCACTCACTTTGCCCAGGCTGAGATTCACTGAGGGTTTTAATGGCAGAGCTGAGCCAGGTCAGAGGTTTGGTTTTAATGAAATGTGGTGGTAGAACATGAGCAGGGAAGGGAACAGAGCTGGAGAAGGGTCTGGAGCACCAGAAAAGGCTGAGGGAGCTGGGAAGGGGCTCAGCCTGGAGCAAAGGAGGCTCAGGGGGGCCCTTGTGGCTCTGCACAGCTCCTGACAGGAGGGGACAGCCGGGGGGCTCGGGCTGTGCTCCAGGGAACAGGGACAGGAGACAAAACTGCATCAAGCTGTGCCAGGGGAGGTTTAGATCAGATTTTAGGGAAATTTTCTTCATGGAAAGGATTATCAGGCATTTGAATGGGCTGCCCAGGGCAGTGGTGGAGTCATCACTCCTGGAAGTGTTAAAACCATGAGCAGATGTGGCACTTCAGGATGTGGTTTAGTGGGCAAGGGGATCTGGTCAAAGGTTGGACTTGATGATCTTGGAGGCCTTTTCCAACCTTAATGATTCCATAAATCAGCAGGGACAAGGTTATTCCTTGTCCAAGGTTATGCCGAGGTTATTCCAGACCTGGAGCTCTTTGGGTTTGGGTGGGTCCAGCCCTGCTCCCCAGCACTCCTGGGTACAGGGGGAGAGGACAGGGCCAACCTCTGCTCTGCCAGCT